CCTCCTCCCCCTCCTCCTCCTCCTCCTCCTTCTCCTCCTCCTTCTCATCCTCCTTCTCCTCCTCCCCCCCAGATATTAGTATTATGGATCGTGTTATTGGCAGTTACCTTCTTCTTCTTCTCATGAGTATTCGCATATGTAATAATAGTGATGCTAGCAGTTTTATCACTAGTAGTATCATAATGAGTCGCAGTATGTGTAGCAGTGTTGTTGTTACTGTGATGGTCAGCGGTCTTATCATTCGTATTACGAATACGATCGATATTACCAGTACTCGTATTAATAAGATTATCAATGTCGTTATTACTAGTAGTATCATTTTCGTGTGATTAGTAGTGGTGGTAGTTGTAGTACACTTGGGATCATCAGTATTGTTGTTGATATCATTGCGACTGTTAACCATCGTATTACTATTACGAGTACAGCAGTAGTAGTAGTAGCAGCAGTACCAGTAGTAGTAAAGTAGTAGTAATACTAGTAGTAGTCGTAGTAGTAGTATAGTAGTATAGTACTGGTAGTAGTAGTAGTGGTAATAATAATAGTAGTAGTAGTAGTAGTAGCAGTAGTAGTAGTAGTAGTAGTAGTAGTAGTAGTAGTAGACGTAGCAGCAGTAGTATTAGTATTAGTAGTGTTGGTATTGGTAGGCTACTTCTCGTACCATCAACATTATTAGTAGTAGTATTACGAGTAATATGTGTAGTATTGATACGATTAACCGTATCAGTGTTAGCCGTGGTATTATTAACATCAAAATTCGTATCATAATTGATAGTACTGTTGTTACGAATGGTGCCATTATTACTCTTATGCTCATCAGTGTGAATGGTATTAGAGTTGATGCTGAAATAAGTGTTACTCATATTATTGTTATGTATAGTCATCCTCCCCTTCCTCCTTTCATCCTCCTCCTCCACGTCTGACGTTCCTGCTCCTCCCCCTGTTCCTCCTCCTCCTCCTCTTCCTCCTCCTCCTCAGTGTCATGGCGGACTTGGGCGCAGGCCTGAAGCCACCCCCAGCCCTGCCCCGAAAAAGTAAGTAGGGGCGTAGGGCCGGTCTTGAAAGGTGACACCACCAACCGAAAGGGGGGGCCTACCCCGGAGGAGGGAGGGGCACGACGGACGGGGACGACACGGGAGGAAAGCAACAGGAGGAGGAGCGGACAGGGGGAGGAGAGGAACGAGGAGAAAGGAGGGCGAGGAGGAGGAGGAGGGGAGCACAGGGAGGAGGAGCGAGACGGGACAGAGGGGAGCAGCAGGCACGACGGGAGAGGGGACGAGGGAGAGGCCCCAGCGATTCACCGAACTCCCCGATCGCCCCCCCGAACTGAAAGCGCAGGAAACCTGCACTGTGCTCCGGGCGCGTCGGCACATCGTGCGGCGCAGCGAAAGGCGAGCGAGGATGGATGATGAGGAGGAGTAGGAGCAGGAGGAGGAGGAGGAGGAGGAGGAGGAAGAGGATCGGCGGAAACATATGAAGGGGGCGCTGGAAAGGGGTCGGTCAGAAGCTGGGGCTTATGTATGGTGGCAGTGTCGTTGTGTCCGTGTTCCTCCCCACACCTTAATCCCAAACCTAAGCCGTTCCCTTCCCTGGCTGCCCTGTGGGCGCGCGGCAGCAGTCGGAGGCGGCGCTTGTAAGCGCGGCGTGGAGGTGACGCGCGATGGACCTGGTAGCGGGCACGGGGCAGGGGGCTGATCTGAAAAGAGGCGAGCCAGAGTCGACAAATTCGTACTCACGTCGTCGCGTCGTTGCAGTGATATGCAGCGGGAGCCGTGCACGTCGCACCCCTGCCGCTGTGCCAGAAACTGCGGCAATACTACCAGGAGCCTTGGCTCTTCTCTGGGGGTGAGGCGCAGAAGCTGGATGACTGCGGGGCGCTGTCTCTCCCGCGCAGCGCCTGCGCTGCGCTTTCGCAGCGCGCAGGGGTTCGGCGGTTCACCCCATGCAACCTCCAGGCCCCGAACAGGGCAAGCCAAGAAGGTGTCTCATGATGAAACACTGTCGTGGGTCCACCGGTGCGTTTCGCGCGTTCTTTTCGGGTTTAGCACCGCAGCCCTCTTGACCAGGCAGGCAAAGAGTTGGTCGATGCGAGGCAGGAGCAGGAGTGGAAAGCGAAGAAAAGGACGCGGTTACTCCGTCGGGCATAGTGCGCCACGGAGGAAGCCTCTCGCTAGCACGAGAACTGTCACTGGATCATCTGCCCTCACTCGAGCATTAACCAGTGGAGATGGCGGCCCGGGGGGGCCAATCCCTCCGTGTACAAGTAGCTCCTGGTGCCGCTGGTGTCATTGGCATCTGAAGCCAGTGTGGGGAGCTTGGTGCGATGATGCCATCGGCCTCGAGAACCTCTTTCACGTTGTTGCCGGCGTCCACGCAGGTAGTGTGAGGCTCGTCTTGGGTGGGCCGGTCCCGCCGTGTACAAGTGGATCTGGGCGTCGTAAGCGTCGTTGGACTCTGCGGTCTGCGCGAGGAACTTGGTATGACGACGTCATTGTCCTCTGGC